TTCCTGATCAAGCAGACCCCGAATGTTAGCCAGAGCCTTCCACCTGGTCTCCAGAATTATGCGGCAGCACCCCTCCTGCCTGTATCACCATAGCTGGGCCCACACTTTTCATTTCTAACAAGTTCCCGGGTACTGTTCTTTTTTCGTTTTTGAGAGATTTTGCTGTAGGGTGCATGCGCTCGCCTGAGAGAGAGAAACAGAAAGCCACCACCCCACTCCCACCCCCACCCCAGGGATGGCCATGCCACAATCCCATCTCCTCCATTCTCTTCTCAGGGTTTTGGGCACACATGCCTGATGTAGTTTTTGAGAGGTTTTTGCTATAGAGTACATGCATTCACCAGAAAGACAGAGAGAGACAGAAAGCAAGAAATCAACCTTCAGGGGGAATGGCCATACTGCAATCCCTTCTCCTCCACCTCTCGGGATCTTAGACACACATGCACATGTGTTTGGCATGAATTTAAGCCACTGGGTCCAGGACTCGAATTGTTGTCGACTACATGGGAGTCCAGCGACATAGCCATTATGCCAACTGCTGGTCCCCATGCCTGATGTGTTTTTAGCCGCTGGATCTGGGACTCGCCATGGTTGACAATGTGTGAGTCCAGCACATAACTATTACGCCATCTACTGGTCCTGATGTTGATGTTCTTAATCGGGGATCATAGTTTGAGTCAGTGACCTAGACCAGTGCCGTCCTGTAGAAATAGAATGTGAGCCACCTATGTAATGTAATGTTTTTGTTGCAGCCACTTAAGTGAAAAGAAAGAGGTGAAAGTAGGTTTTTTTGGGGGGGAGAGGTTTTTGCTATAAGGTGTGTGCGCTCACCAGACAGACAGAGAGAGACAGAGAGACAGAAAGTGAGAAATCACCCCCCAGGGAAGATGGCCACACCGCAGTCTCCTTTCCTCCGGTCTCCTCTCGGGATCTTGGGCACGCACGCACATGCGCCTGGTGTGAGTTTTAAGCCACCGGGTCTGGGACGCGAACCGCGGTCGACTACGTGGGAGTCCAGTGACATAGCCATTCTGCTAACTGCTGGTTCCAGTAGTTTTAATAATATTTAAGCACTGGGGCCTGCACCACAGCACAGTGTGAAGTGTAGTGCCTCAGGAGCTGGATCTCACATGGCTGACCACAGCTTGTCTGAGTCTCGGCCCTGCGCATGTGTGCCCAGTGTCCTGATGTTTAGGGGAATTGGAAGGAAAGGAGTGCACCATGACCACACCCCATCACAGGATATCTTTTCTCTGGTAAGCATATGCTCTCAGGCAATTAAAAACAAAGAAAAAATATATTTAAGGGCCAGCCGGTGATGTGGTGGGTAAGATGGCTGGATCCCTCATGGCCAATTGTGTGGTTTTGAGCCTAGACTCAGCGGCTGGGAAAACACTCCAGGCCTGTTTGTACATGCCCAAAATCCCAAGAGGAGAATGGAGTGGGGATTGTGGTGTGGCCATCTCCCCTGGGGAGGGCTTTCTTACTCCCTCTACCCCATCTCTGTCTCTCTCCCTGGTGAGTGCACATACCCTATAAACATTTTTAAAAATAGATAATCACCATATCTAAAATATTATCACTGTAACATAATTAATATATCATTATTAGTTTTTTTTTTTAAAACTATTCAAAATCCAGTATTTTACACTTACAGCACATCTTTGGATTAACCAAAGTTGCTCAGTAGTTATATGTAGGGACCAGCAGTTGGCATAATGGCTATGTTGCTGGACTCTCACGTAGTTGACCGCAGTTCGAGTCCCAGACCCGGTTGCTTAAACTCATGCTGGGCGCATTTGCGTGTGTGCCCCAGATCCCGAAAGGAGAATGGAGGAGAAGGGATTGCGGCATGGCCATCCCCCTTGGGGGCTAATTTCTTGCTTTCCGTCTGTCTTTCTGGCAAGTGCACGTGCCCTATAGCAAAAACCTCTAAAAAAAAAGTTATATGTGGCCAGTGGCTCCTGAATTGGACAGCACAGATCTAGAAATTTCTGAGGATTGTTAATGATAGAAATTTCCAAAATCCTGAGTCTACGCAGTGGATCTCTACAGAGCTATGATAAGATTATCTTTTATTTGCCAAAATCTCTGTAGCTTTTGTGTTTCAGTTTTATTGTACAAGTAGTTTCCATTTTATACAGCCTGTAGCTGGAAGCAGCTGCCATGTCCTCTGAGCTCCCTTTGGGCTAGATATTACCAGTTGTCCATCTTCTTCATATTACGCAGTTCAAAGCCGTCCCCCTTCAGACTGGTAACAGGAGTGATACCTAGAACCCTAACTATGGTTTGACCTGGAGGAATAGAAAACCTTTCCTTCCTTTTCTGCACACTTCCTACTATTACTGCAGCCTGAGAGCCCGTCAGTTCTTTTAGTGTCTGTATTACAGTATTGTTTCCTGCTAAATCACTGAGCACCCAAAGTGCTGCTTATATAATTGGTTGTTTTTGTGAACGCAAGTGCAATATCCCTAACGTGCAGTGGTTCTCAA